GCGGGAGTGTAGCCAGGACTGAACATTTCGAAGACTGTTACTACCATAGCATGCATAGCTCTATTCAACTCTCTCCTGAGTTCACTAGTAGTCAGTGGTTGTTCATTCTCCTGACCGGCACAGACTACTATGCAAACGACAAGCAGCGCTGCAGAGGCCAGCACATGAATTTCCATGATTGAGAAGGCACAAGTGCTACTTCAACCTGTCTTGTACTTTATGATAGCATTGCTAGTTTTGTCTGTCATAGACCACACGATGGGCTACAATCTGAACTACATTGCCACAATTAAGACAGAAAACTCCCATTTGTTGCAGAGCGTCTTAATTACCTAGGCGTCATGGTGCGGTCATATGAAGTGGTAGCAAGGCTAATGCATGCTAATAAGAAGACTCTTAAATGCCTTCTAGGGTTAGCAGTGTGGTCAAAAGCTATGATCATTCTCCTGACTGACCCTAATACTAAGACCATCCAGGACCATTTTTTTCCACTGCAATCTCCAGCTATAGCCAAAGCACTGGTCCTTCCGCCAAAGTCTGCTCGCACGTAGTAACACATTATTTCCATGTAACCACTTGTCACAAAAGTTAGGACACTCAGGACAACTCACTCATAATATATGATACTTAGTGTTCTTCTCAGAATAGAGGGAAAGGGTCTCGAGTAGTATATTTTGGGTTTTGCTGCCAAAAGTGCTTTGAGGCTGCATGGTCTCGGTGAAGAAGTGTGGGCAGTTGCCGTTGTCTGGGAATGAGACTAATGGGGTATAATGGAGGATAAAAAGTGTGTTGTGGCTATGTACATGGCAGACATTAGGACGGATATAGGACTAGATGGGATAGTTGCTAGACATTGTGTGCTGCTGAGTTGAAAATGACTTGCAACAAGAGTAGATTTGAAGTTGTAACATCAGTGCTCAATAACGTGAAGTTTTGTTCCAAATGTCAATCCCTGATACTGTGTTGCAAGAAACATTCAAGGGAGAAAACACTTGTGGCAAATGTATAATAAACTTTCATGGATCGTAAAGCCATTGCTGGACACATACACCACACATGAAATAGAGGGATACTCGCTGAATGTATGTGTTAAGCACAATGCCTTTACTATAAAAAGTAGATTGTACCCTCTCCACAGGGGAAGTCTGGGAACGTGACTACTTTCTCGAAGAAGACAAGACTTATGAACACTGGTCCAGGCAGCAGAAAAGAAGTGTCGATTCCAGGCATTAATTGGCTGTGTGACGTATAATATACGCCCCCCTCTTTTCTGGAGGCAATGGAACGAGGCTAACCATGGATGTGCTATGCATAATACATAGATGACTAGTAAATCAACAGCACATACACAGGTAGCTTGCTGGATGGACTTGTCTCTTTCGTTTCATTTGTCTCCGTCTTTCATCATTTCGTTTTAATCGCATTTTTATGTGTAAAGGTTCACAGATTCAGCATGAAGTTCGATTAAGTTTAGTACACTAATGTCAAATGTATACATTATGTATGTAGTGCAGTTCAAACAGATTTCAGTTCAAAGCATGGCTCCCAACTGAGAAAAGTTAAGCAGTAGTCAGCTTCCTCAGCATTTCCTCAACTTCACTTAGCCTTTGTTCGATAATATCTCTTGGCCTGTTAGTCCCAGCATCTAAGGGAGTAGCAGTAATAATAATACTCAGGTGGCTGTCATAGCACTAGGGCCATAGACCACGCACCCAGAGCAGTGGGTGGAACCGTTAACAAACGAACATACACCATATGAACATGAGGTGTCTGTCTCACCTCCCAGACACCTCAACTCACCCACTTCCACGAGCGACACCCTGAAGCTCCCCAAATGCAATGTGAGACTGGGTGTGTTGTACGCTGGGATTATTGACGTACAACCCAACCTTTCTTAGTTCCCAAACATCCAAAATAAAGCAAACTACAAAATTTATCCTCTCACTGCTCACTACCCAATATAAAGGATGCTTTCCTGAAACTATCAAGCGACTGGAAATGCTCAAACCCATCATCCCCAAGCTTCCCCTGCAGGGCAACTAAGAAATTGCTCCTAACACTACTATATGCTGGACACTCCCACAACACATGACTCACACTTTCACACTCATCATCACACAACAGGCACTCCTTCATCCCCTTCCTTCCCCTATGCCTACCCAGTTCCTCGTTTAGCCCATGCGTGCCTGACCTGAACTTAAACACTAATCTAGACCCAGCATCACTTTTCCCATGCAAGTACCTTTTGAACTCTACCACCTTGTTAAATGTCTTATACAATAACAGCTTTACTTTGCCCTCTTCAAACTTCCTATTTTCCCTCTCATTGATACTGTCCCCTACTATAGACACAAAGCCCTTCATGGAGCAATCCCCATTTTGAATATCATGCAAACCACTCTGCCTTGTCAAGACCTAATGACGAAAAGAGATCATCAATGACCTTATATACTCCAACACTTCCTCTCCGTGGCTTCCATTCCTGATTAAAAAGCTTCTTCGGATAGCTACCTATTGCCTGGCAATGCTATACCACCACTTCAACTTCTACGCCCTTGTAACGTATCAAGCCCCATATCCCCCCTAACGGCTTCATTACATGTCTTAGACGAACATCCAAGAATATGCTTAGCTCTTCCCAGCATCACGGACTCTAACGCAGCTGCCTGAGTCTTATTGGCTTCCTACACCTCACTCCCATACTCAAAGTTGGCCTAACCACCGCCAGCAACAACAACCTGCGAGCACTAATATCCGTATTACTAATTACACTGTGCTAACCTTCCTTCTACCATTATCTAACACATTCTTGATATGCTGCTCATCCCATGCACCAGTACTAGTAAAATCAACACCCAAGTAAGTGTAACTAGATACTCTAGGCAAAACATACACCCCCCCCTCCCATTTCCAAGCACCATCCATTGACTCCCTAGCGAACACCATCACATCCAAACAAAAGTCTTCCTAGTCTCCCACCACTACTTAAATCCCAATATCACCTTCTTCCACCTCCCTCAACAACCCCATTGATAAACTGCGGAACAGACTTTAGTCACTGACTCCTCAGCACTATTCCCCAAAGCTGTAACCCCCCTCCTCTTACCCTTTGTCCTTCTACCAACAAATGCCCAAAATCCTTTCCTATTACCTTCAGTATCTGAATCCAGGGGGGTAGCTTGCAGTTCAAGCTCAGGGGGAGCAAGTTGCTGTTCGACGTTGGCTGTCAGTACCAACAGATCATCGATGAAATGTATTACATCACTTAGTGATTGTGTGAGGTATGGTTTCCTCTGAAAGGTGATGTACTTTATGGGGTGAGGCCTCAGTGCGTATCTGGTTGGTTGAGTTGCACCCCCATCTGGAACCAGCTGGAATATTGTTAGGATATGCTCATTTATGGTGAACCCTGAGATTAGGAGAACACAATACAGTACGCGTCAATACTTTTACCTTACCTTTACCCTACTACCCTAGTCTCGGGTACCCAGACCCCACACGAAATCTAAAGACCCACAAGCAGTCTACCCTTCTTGATTAGTACTTATTTCATGGCTTATGTGGTTTACATTGATAATCATGGTACTTTATGGCATAGCCTCCGAGGAAGGGACAACCTCTGAACAGAAAGAAATGGAACAAAATTGGAAACGTTTTTTTTGACTCTTACTGTAGGTATGCCCACGTGATTATCCCGTGCTGTAACCTAAGTGATTTTTATGCAAGTCAAATGCAATTTGCTGTGCACTGTTTCCTGCATACCTTCAACTACCTCACTCCACCCTACCATACAAAATTGTTGAAATGGTTTTTGACACGTACTGTGTAGGTCACATAACAAACTTACCAACTGGGCACACCCCTTGTTTTTCTCTCTGGAGCAGGAGTGGGGCCAGCACTTGGCATTGTGCTGTCACTTCTGAGTTCACTCCCCCCACCGCCAGGACCCTAGCATCCACATTTTCCACCAGAAAGTCCACCACACCTGTATACACATACCAAATAGATACCAAGGCTCTTCATTATACGTAATTATGGCCATTAATCCAAGGGGTGTGCGCATGATGGCCGGCCACTATTCTGGCATTACACGCAACGAGGCGGTAAAAGAGCGGCATCAGTACAACGTCAGCATGGAGTTTAGAAAGGGATTTTCCTGGAACTATACTGCAATCAGAAGTTTAGGGGTGAAACACGAGCCAATATACTAACAAGCAATGGTTTACCTCGACAAGTGTTTGCCCATTCATCCGACTATGAGTGGATGAAACTATAAGCATCGAGTGTAACAAACGCTACACACTAATGCAGCTATAGCCCATCCCAGAGCGAGAAACTGACAATGCCAACAAGTAGCTGGGGTTTGTGGCGTAGGCCCTTAGGGCACACACGCACATTCTGCACCGGGGGCATAGATGCTATGCACTACGTAGGAATTTCAACCGCATGTGTTCCCTCTTTGTTGCCGGAAAAAAGCCAGAATTCTAAACCACCAGTGGTTCCTTAGCATCAATCTCATACATTACGTCCCAACCAGCGAGGAGAAGGGGTGAAGCTGGGCATCATGCAGAAGAGCAAAACCTACTCAATGCAATATAGCAATGCCTCACCTAAAATGCTGTACCAACAGATAAAAGTGCCCGCTAACGGTACACACTTTTCGGTGCCAAAATGAGGTAAGGGCAACGATGCAAAACACTTGGCTTCCAGGGGGATCCTTCACTTGCTTTTGGGCACCTCTTTCCTTTACGGGGGGGTACACATTAAAAAAAAGTGGTTTACACAAAGCTACTAGCTAGAAGTCACAAGTACACGCATACTAATAGGCCCAACCCATCAATTAGCAGTACCACGCATGCACACTTCGCCGAGGGTTTGAACTTTAGTGCTTTTCATTTGAAGTTGGACTACAAGTGCTGAGGGAGTTACACTTCTGCGGGGCATCTTACAAGAAAATCTTACTTGAGCCACAAGAAAGCTAGGACACATGTGCGAGATGTATCTGTAGCTGTACAATGCATCATGCTGCAGACACCTAGTATGTACTGTGTTCCCCTCTCAGAACATTTGGGCCCACAACACTACATTATGGGCCATACCCGCAGCAGATAAAAGGTAGGGTATGCAGGGTAAGGTGTTACCTGATATGTTACTGGCCCTCATTCCACACCAGTCCCTGGTGCTGGAAGTTGTGGACGCCTTGACTCCCCACTCTTTGCCAATCCCCACATGGCGCCGCATTTCCATCACACAACTACCCCACTGTTTACCAGCCCCGTTGTTGAATTGTGGCTCAGGAGGCCGGCGGTTGCGGCAGAAAACCATGTGTCGGAAGAGTGGCTTCAAAAAGTCTGGGAGGTTGGGCGGCAGCCTAACCCTCTCCAGGCCATCGCCGTGATCAAATAGGGCCCTGTACAGTTTCGTAACGGCAGTGAAGTCTGCCGGCTGCATGTCACTAAGGTATTTGCTGAGGCTGCCACCTTGCTCGGAGCAAAGCGTTTCAGTTCCCCGCACCCTCACAGTCATCCCAAACACCCCCAGCAGGTCACCCAGACTGTTCATTTCTGAGAATGTCTTGTATCCAGGCTCATGGTCGTCGGATGACAACACTGATTGCACCCTCAAGCGATTTTTCTGTTCTGCCATTGAGCGAGAGCAGTAGAGAGGTGAAGCGCCCTGGAGGACAGAGACAAAAAGGGGAAATTGCAATACAGGCAAAGAATGTAATTTCCACTGATTGCTCTTTTAGAAATGCGGCAGATCAATGCCATTACAGGATGTGGTTCAGAATGTGTGGGAATTGCTAGGTCACTCATTCTTCAGCTCATACAGGGGGCGGATTTTATATCGCAACTGTGTCAAAGCTCGTACAAGTTTGCATAATGTAGTGCTGCATAAGCAAAACTAGTGTCTACTCTTAGATGACAGGAAAATCGTGACAGAATGGGGAATTTGAAATACAATATCGAATCTAAGGCTACAGTAAAATAAGAGTATAGAGTGATGCAGTGAAATGGCACACTTACGGGGTATCTCTGAGTGTTTCCTGCAAAGCGAGAGAGGGAGATAGAGAGAAAGAGACAATGAAAGAGAGAGTTACACAGATGTGGTGTCTATTGCATAAGCCATATATAGCTGCATTATGGGATACTCTCTGATTGAAACATCATGTGTAGAGCTATCAGTAACTTCTACAAAAAAATGTCACGACACTCCGGAGTGAGAGAGAGAAGGCCCAAGGGATAGGCTGAGTATCTGTTACAGTACTTTAGTAACTCACAGCAAGTTAGCAGCTTCAAATCTGTCGGCAGACACGTTCACGTATAATTTAGTGATGTCACGATACCCGAAAATCCGCGCGCCCCACATTTGTATAGCAACGTCGGCAGCAAACCGAAGCCACACTATCGGTCATAGTTCCATTTTGATGTGTGCGCACGTGGTGCAGCGAGAAAGATGGCCATAGAGCTAGAGCTTTCAAGCGGTACCCTGCCCCAAGGTCTGGCCAGAAGCCTAAGCTGTGCGTTGTATATGCTACAGTATCAATGCATAAAGTTTCTATTTTGTATGCCTTTCTTGAAACGACCATAGAACTTTGCGGAGTGCGGTTGCCATGTTTTTTTGGAAATGTACGCGCGCGTGCGCGCGTATTACGCGCTAAAACACCCGTGCAGAGTGAAGAACCGCCGCAGGGCCCACCCCCATGTCTTATAGATAAAAAAAACTGGTTTTACAGGTAGGAAACTGGTATACCAGTTATGCTATGTGCCGGATGTGTATAGCTATGGATGCCGTTTCCGCCAAAAGTAAGGGCTCTCCGAGTCTACCCCGCGCATGCGCGTTACTGGGCTGGCTGGTTCCTTCCGTCAATTACGTTTAACTCCCTTAATTAGGTTTACCTTGAAGGTACAAGAAATCACAAAGAAGGGCGTGTATCGACTCCCCATGCTACTACTGAATAGCTGGTCCGTGTCAGACTCTCCGCGAGCTACTGGGGGAGACCACAAATAAAGGTATACTAATGGCCCAGCCGGCCATCAATATTAGTGGTACTGCGCATGCGCATTTCGCAGAGGGTTTGCTTTTCTATTATAATCATTTTACAATACGCAGCAAACAGTAAAGTACTTGTGTTTGCTTGCCAAAAATGCATTACAACAAGTTCACACAGGGGATGAGCTGGTGTCAGTATTTATAGGTCCGTCTACAGGGTTGATTAGTCACAGAACATAGATTTCCAGTGACTCAATGTAAACATCAGAATTTTGATAATTAAACACACCCAGCCTCATCTCAATGTCATCATTGGTTGGAGGAGAGAGCTCTTTCCTGAACCGTGGTGGAGAGTTGAAGTCACAGCAGGTGTTGTACTCACCACATCCAGCACCATCCCAGAGAGGATCGTCTCCATAGAAGAATGTTTTGGACTTGATTCTCACTCCCAGTGTCACAAAAATGGTCATATCCCAGAAAGTCAAGTTTATTAGCTACCAGCGTTAGAGGAGTGCGAGTGTTTATACAGGAACAGGCGTGCTTCGGTTGATTACTGTCATACTCGTGCATTGCTGCAGTAAATGTCCAAATGTGCTCGCGAGGACTTCCATGAGTTAGACTGATGCCATCAACGTAAGCTAAATTAATGTTGTCTATGAGTATTGGGCCACTTACGTGGAGCCGAATAAAATCAGTGACATGGCCAAACTGGTATCCAATTATCTTGCCACACACTTGAGAGTGCTTTATTCCTTGTACTGGGAACAAAATAGAGTGATATGAATCATCACCTTTCATACACAGCCCACGAGAAGTCCTCAGACCAGATGGACAGGTACTGTCAGTGTCAGTCATGTCCAGTCAGTTTATCCAGCATGTTGTGGTAAAATGTTAACTGCCTTCCTGGTGCTGTGCTTTGCACATAGAGACTGAAACTTGTCATTACTCAACCATACTACATGCTGTGCACCTGAGAAACATACCAAAATGATCAGCAAGCTTTTCCGATCAAAGTTATCGAATTAATATCGAATCATGAATCCCAAGTTTCAGTCTCTATGTGCAAAGCACTGAATATAACACATTATCATGCCATGTTGCCTCCCAATAGCGAACACAACTACAGTTGATAGAAGCCAGGCAACTACTCCTGCCTCATATGGCTATAGCTACCACTCGGCACGGCATTGATATCCACTCAATTTCCATCCACAGGTTGGAAGAGATTTTGAGTATAATGGTGCATGTAGTCGTGCGGTAATAAAAACTTCCTGAAGGTCGTATCTCAGCTCCAGTCCGCCATTTCGAGGATGTCGGGTATACCAACTCCTTAGCAGATACTGAAGCCCCGTGTACAGAGTGGGCTTTAAACACTCTGGTGTCCACCCCAGCTTCTGATAGGATATGTTTGATCCAGTGGGCAATGCGCTGGGAGGTCACCGGCTTAAACGGCCTGGTGTATGATAAAAATAGAGGCTGCACCTCTGACTGTGGATCTCTATGCTTGGCAGTCGTCTCTTCATAGCATTTGAGGCAATCCACCACACAAAACCATTTATCAGAGAAGGCACCAAAGAAGCGCTCTTTTGGTGGTGATCCCACCCTCTGAGTCTTGGTGATACCAGTAAGGTGGAAGAGTACCCTATTGGGGTGAACACCCAGAACTCAGGTCCAATGCCTGCAACTCAGACTTTCAGGGCTTGCCACAACCGGTGCTGTCAGAAGGGCCAGTTTCTGACTCAACTGTCTCAGGGGTGGGCTGGTGTTTTTACCCATCCCCACTATATACTGAGTCACAATGTCTCTCCCATGCGTAAGTATACCGAGGTTTAGGCAGCCTGGGATTGTAGACTCCCTTCATTAGTCGTCTTACCAGAGGATGTTGGCTGATTGGAACTCCCTCTACCGTCTCATGTGTCATTGACACGGCCGAGCGGACAACATTGGTAGTGTCGTGTTGCAGTCCACTGTCAAAGAGCTCGGTCAGGGAATCGACGAAATGCTGGACACTGCACCAAAGGGGATTGAGACACCTTGCGTCACACCAGCCATTCCACTTGACCCAGCTTGACTGGTAGGCCGAGTTTGTCCCTCTTTGCCATCCTGCTGTGATGATATCTGAAGTTCTCTCCGAAATTCCAGAGAATGAGCAGGTACGCCAGATACTTTCCAAGCGGGCTAGCTGTAGCTGTCCCTTGACAAGCGGAGGGTAATCCCTGTTGAAAGGGCCGTGCAGCAGATTCCTGAAGATGGGCTGGAGGGTTGGCCAGCATACCCAGGTCCCAGGTGCCATGGGTACCATGATTGGGAGGGCCACACTGGAGCTATCAGCACCACAGTCGAACCCTCCTGGCGTATCTTCTGTAGGCACCTGCCTATCAGGGCAAATGGAGGAAAGGCATATGCCTGGACGTTCATCGATTGGACCCTGAAAGCATCCGTTGCTGCTGTGTATTGAGGTACCAACTGATGTAGTGAGGATGTTGAAAGTTCAGTCTCGATGCGACGAGATGCACTTTGCACGGGCCGTAAAGGTTCATCACTGCCAGGAACACTGACCTGTTCAACCTCCATTCGGAAGATGATTGGAGTGTCGAGATTCTCTGTCTGCTGTCACATATTGTGACCCCGGGAGGTACTCGGCTGAGAGTGTCACTCCCTTTTTCAGGCACCACTCCCACAGTTCCCTACATCCCTTCACGAAATGATTATTCCACTTGTGTTATTACCCTCTCTACAGCTGTCTATGAGTAGTTGGAAATTCAGGGTTTGCCACGCAATTCTGGACTGAGTTTTGGGGTGGGAAGCCAACCCAAGCCTGCTACCACATGAGTGACTGTATCTAGCAAGTTGTGGTAACATACTAATAAGTGGTCTGCCTTCCTATATAGTAGTCTCTTCCCCAGACCCTCACGTGCCCCACACGAAAGAATGTCTGGTATAACATCGGAGTTCTTGGTTGTGCTGAATCAGCATGTTTACAGAAATTACGTAACACGGTGCAGTAGTCATGTGTTCGCTTTTCGTTCATTGCATAGATCTATATACACGTGCTTCCAGAGCGACCGCTACCTTTATGTCACATGATAATTATTTTGACCTAGCAATCTGTTTGGTTAACCCGTTTTCAGAACATGCGGACTCAGCACAATAGCAAAGAAATTCGACGCTATGCATCAGACCCTCTCTTGCAGGAGCATGTGAAGGTCTGGGCATGAGACTACCTACATGGTAGCATCATGCCAGGTTGCAAAACATTACTTATCCTTCAGCCAGCCAATCTTTTCCTGGAAGGAGCTGCGATAAAAACCATGATAATAATTAGTAGTTTACATCTCCTGTATGAAATAGTATATAGTAAAGTACTTGCTTTCAAAAACTTCACATTAAAGAGTACCCGTAAAAAATGTCTCAGTAAGGTACGTTAGAAGGTTACATGATAATCTGAATACCCGATGCCAACGCCTACTTGCTCCTTTCTCGTACCTTGCACTCTTTCATGTTGATTTGTCAAATGACACATTGTATCCTACGAAGCTACACCAAAAAGTGTGAAATGTGTGGGGATTCGGTGTCAAATCACTGTACGTAGATTTCCACTGACTCAACGTAAACATCTGCGTATTGGTGATGTTCAAATGCACACAGCCTCATCTCAATGTCATCACTGGTTGGAGGAGAGATCTCTTTCCTGAA